GATTGTCAACGGAGAGCAAGTTCGATACAATCAATCGAAGGAGGCACTCCATCGCTACCAAGAAGAACCCAGTTTTAAACAAAGGGGAGAATCAAATTCATTCTCCTCTCTTTTGTAATCGGAATCCAAATTGTAATCGATTTTGAGAGGAATACAAGTCAATTTTTCTTTCATTGTTTTTTACTGCAAATTTCCAACAAACAAAAGATGGCGACTCCGCTGGGGACTAGCTTCTCTGACAAGATTGGCTTCAGCGGCCGTAGTATCTTCCGGTTCTGACTGGGAAGAATGAGCTTGGTCCGATTGCTCAGGAGAAGATTGGGCTTGGTCCGATCACTCAGGTTGATCCTGCCTACTTTGTTCTTCAGCTTTGATCCTGGCAATAATCTTTTGAGCCTGATCGCCTTGAGAGATTAGTTGTCTCCAAGAACGACATTCTGCAACTTCGATTCGGGCTAGGAGGTCGGTCTGCAAGTTGTGTCGACATGTCTCTACTAAAGTAGACTGTGTCATACCTAACGAACACCGAAGAGCCATGGTTCGGAACCTTTTGATGAAGGCTTTGACGGATTCCCTCTTCTTCTGCTTAGTGGAGAGAAGGATATGGATGGAGACTTCTGTATCCTCTTCAAAAAATCTTGACAGGAAGAGTCTCTCTAAATCTGCCCACCTTTGGATACATCCGGCAGGTAGTTTCCTGAACCATTCAAAGGCAACTCCCTTAAGGGTTCCAATGAACAATCGAGCCAGTATGGTATCGTTTGATATTACATTCCCAGTCTGTGACTTGAAATGATAAATATGTTGGTTCGGTGATCCTGTGCCGTCAAAAGTTTGTAGCGTCGGGACTTCGAACTTTGGAGGATAAGGGGCTACATCCCATTCGGCAGGATAGGGCCTGGTAACTCCCTCATCTTGGAGCTCACTTCTGTTAGAAATAGCATTGAGGCGGGCTTCCAATTCTTTCATTTTAGCAGATTGGAGATTCTGCTCGTTCTCAGTCTCTCTTCCTTCATCAGAGGAAGATTCCAGGTTATGAGCTTCTTTGTCAGAAGCAGCGTCATCAATCACTTTTTCCTTCCCTTTGCTTGTGTGAAGTCGGGATGAAGACGCTTTTCAGGGCCATGAGTTCATTGATGGCCTCTTGCTGAGATTTGAGCATGGCCTCCTGCTCATCAAGTCTCTTCGCGAGATCTTCATGGCTTTCTGTCATATAGGCGGGGCTCTCATGTTCAACAAAAGAGCTTGATGATTGGGACTCTGCAATGGCTGAGTGTTCATCATTGGAATTAGTTCCCCTGGCTAACCTCTGATAGTTGACAGGGGGAATGGCTCCTGTTCTCGTCCGAGTGCGTCGGTAAACTCCTTCAAACTCGTTAGCGATTTCTTTGACGGTCGGCGAACGACTTGTCTCAGAGTCATCGGAACTAGGACCTGAGGCTTTCCCTCTGCCGATCACATTGATAGTGACCTCAGGATATTCGGTCTCTGGAGACTTCTTCCTGTGCGAACGTCGTCGTTGGTTAGACAAAGCAATGTCCGTTAATTGGTCGAACACCAATGGTTTGGCCGCATATGAGAAGTATTGATATCCTGAGAGGACCATAGGAATCAGCCGTTCACATTGGAATGAACGAATGACTTGCTGCATCGGTCTTTCTCTTAATATGAACTCTCTCAAATCTGTTGTAAAGATTCGAGGAGAATTACTCACTGATCGTGAGGTTTGAACTGGAACCCCCAGTCCATGATTGGACAGGACTGGCTCTTGGTGAATATGGATCTGGTTGAGATGCCTTGAATCCACGAACTTTTTATATCCGCCCCTCAACCTAGTCGCGCTACGTAGAGTATTCGGTATTGAATCCACGAAGCTCCACGGTATATACCAGGTTCTGTATTGGATTTGGAACTTGGGACGCGCGGGTCGCGTTTGGCTCTTGAGACGCGAAGGTCGCGTTTGGCACTTGAGACGCGAAGGTCGCATTTGGCACTTGGAACGCGAAGGTCGCGTTTGGCACTTGAAACGCGAGGGTCGCGTTTGGCACTTGAAACGCGAGGTCCACATTTTAGTTTGGCGACATGAGGGTCACGTTTTGGTTCTGGGACGCACTCCTGAGAGTTGCGTTCTGCCAGATCAACACAGTTTCGACGTCTGCATTTTGATGTTGGAACGCGCCTCCGAAGGCTGCGTTTTGATTGTACAACGCGCCACAGAGGGTTGCGTTTAGCATAAGCTGAGCCCACTCCTTCAGAGGAGGGGCTGTTCGAGCAATCTTGGCTAAACGAGAGGGCTTCCTTTGGCATAGGAGCAACATTTAGAGCTTTAGTCTCCTTGAAGATTTTGCGGATCTTGCGCATAGCCTTGGGGCTAAGGGATCCAGAGGAGATGGACTCCTCAAACTTGGCTTGGTCAAACTCTACCACGAGAGTTTCGATGGTCGTTCCAGTAAGATGAACATCGGATTGCGCCACCACTTCTTCATCAGAGAAGCATCTCCCCAGCGGAGTCGCCATCTTTTGTTTGTAGAGAAAATTGCAAAGAAGAGAACAAAGAAAATTGACTTGTATTCCTTTGATTCCGATTACAATTCGATTACAAAAGAGAGGAGAACGAATTTGGTTCTCCCCTTTGTTTAAAACTGGGTTCTTCACGGTGGCGATGGAGTGCCTCCTTCGATTGTTCGCATTGAATTTGCTCTCCGTTGACGATCCGATGTCTTGATTCACTGGAACGATGTCTTCTCCTCACGATTTGACATTATGGAGAACTTGCGTGGCAAGTTTTAGAACTCTGGACGAGTTGATAACTCTGAATGACTTTAAACTCTTGAAAAAGAGTTGATTTGAACTGAAAGTTCGATTGATAAGCCAAGGATGAAGAAGCTCTTGTTGCAGATCTCCCAAGCTCCAGAAAATGCTCCAAGGATCTCTTCTGCTGCCAAGTCCCAGATCCGAAAAATGCCAGCCCAAACTCAATTGAGTTTACCCTTATTTATAGGGAATTAAGGGGTGTAACCGGGGTGTAACCGCCCACAAATCATGGGAACCGGTTTTGGAACCGTTCAGCTCATGTTTGAACGAGTCAAATGCCCACGTTGGCGTTCAGGACCCTAATTTCGTATTTTAGACTGGAGACGCGGAGTTGGGTACCCACTGGGCATTAAAAAACGCGGGTCTGACCCCAGCGTTTTAATGTTGTAACGCGAGTCCGACTCCAGCGTTTTGATGTTGTAACGTGGGTTCGACCCTCGCGTTTTACTGTTGATACACGGGGAGGACCTCCGCGTTTTGGTGTTGATACACGGGGAGGACCTCCGCGTTTTGGTCTTAGAGCGCGGTGATGAGTTCCGCGTCTTGCTTTGGAGAGATTATCAACAAGTAATCTCTTTTTTCATAGCGTTGCAAAGATCATTGTCTTGTAATATTCGTCTTGGCTCCTTGAGAATATGAGAGTCGTCAGATTGTAACTCCCGATGTTGATTCTGAATGCTGTTGAACTAGAGATCTCATCGGTTATCGTGAAGGTCGTCAGATTGTAACCTTCAGCGATCTACGTGAAAGTCTTCAAATTGTAGCCTTCTGGAAGTCGTCAGATTGTAACTTCCATCATCGGTGCTTGATGTGGGATAAGCTATCTATTGTGATTTTTTGACAGCCTACAATTGGCTTCTGACTTTGTTCTGAGCAGGTATATCACGTTTGACTCTCGGCAGGTGGAGAGTGGTGATCAGATATTTGGGACATCGTAGCAGGTGGAGAGTGATGCTACTCCACGTTAGGTGGAGACTCCAGATCATACTGCATCATTTGAGATTCCAGCTGATGTGACACAGATTGGGAATCATATTGATTTGGATGCAGATGATAGGTTGATTGATTTGAGTACAACTGATAGATGTAGTCTGGATATGGCCATTGGTTCATCTCAGGTGGAGATGTTTGGATTAGTTCATTTTGGGGCCATTGGAGGTGCTATCTGCCGTAGACTTGATCGTGATGTTGGAGAAGGGTTGCGAACTCTTCTAGTGGATTGAGGCTTTTGGAGGCCATTTGGGTGAACTACGTTCGGCTTGATTCCTTAGGCAAGAGGATACGTAGGCAGTCTTTCAGATGCAGCTGGTTTGATCAGTTGATTCAGATGGGGAGGGAGAGATCGCGTTTCAGCTCTAGATTGGTTCCCTGACTTGTTGAGGGACTATTGGATGATTTGGTGTCGGCTCAGTTTTGGTGGAAACATTCACCGAGGTGGAGAATTAAAGAATTACAGGAAAAACAGCAAAGAAATCAGCCAGGCAGACTGGCGGGCGACCGCCGCAGTCGACCGCGAACGTGGCACGAAGACTACAAGATTCGCGAGCTGCTGGCGGTCGACGCCGCGGATGACTGGTAAGCTGTTTTATGAGATTCGGTCGACCGCCGCGGTCGACCGCGAGACCTGCGCGGTCGACCGTCGATGTTCTGGGCTGGGCTTTCTGGATTTTGACCCGTTTCGTTTCTGAGTTGTATATAACTCAAAACCTGATTGTTTAGGGTAACTAAAGGACGAATTTGAGCAGTTTTTGAGAGAGAATTGTTGCATCCAATTGTGGGAGAGTTGAGAGAGATCAAGAGCTTTGTTTTAGTGTTTGATCTGAGAGATTTGTAACTCTATTTGTATTCTCTGATTTCTAATAGTAAGAACTCTCCCCCTCCTTGCCCCGTGGACGTAGGCAACTTGCCGAACCACGTAAATCTCTTGTGTTATTTGGTGATTGTGATTGTTTATTTGGTTGTGATCTCTCTTGTTCGGATTGTGTGATTCGATCGCTTCCGCGCCGCCGCGCCGCGCACAACAGATATATGATTCATCTAAATCACGATAAAACCTTCATGTTTGTGATTGCTCTTTTTAGTTTGTTTTTTGACTTCATATTTCTATGATATTTGTTCTTAATTTTGAAAAAGAGTGGCATGCACTCGACATGACAAGCACTCCATTTTGAAAGTTGTGTAAACAATTTAACTGTATTCAAGTTGAATTCTTCATCAAAGGTAAGAACAGTTGTAAGATAGAGAAGTGTATAACATGACCTTTTGAGTTTTGAGATACAACATACTGAGATACAAAAAGGGGAGCCCTCCGAAACCTGAGAAGAATTTTGAGAATGAGCATCCTCTAAAGGTTTATCTGAGGGGGAGATATCTGAGGAGGAGATAAGTTCAGTACGGAACGGGTATTCGGACTGTAGATGGACCCGATTTCATGTCATCCATGATGAAATTGAAAAAAGCTTCAGCCACTGGTCCTTCTTTTCCTGCAAAATTTTCAACAAAATCATTCAATAATGAGAACTCTGATATACTTCTCGGGTTTCATAGTTAATACTCAACAAACTTCAGCCTTGCATATTGTTCAATGCATACAGGGCAAAAAAACCAAGACATTTTAGGTTACTAATAACTAAGGGCAAATTTCACGAAACTACCATGAATTTTGGAAGATTTTGCACAAAACTAACAAAGGTTTTTCATTATGAACTTATTCAATAAACTAACATGTCTGACAACAACTAGGGTAAGCTGCGCATGTTTTGGACAATTCTGTCCAAGTCGTTAATACTATTAGCGACAATTTTAGATAGTTCATGGTATTTTCTATATTTTTTCAAAACTAGTTTTCTTTAATAAAAAAAATTATGGAAGATATTTGCAGAACTCCCAAGGTTCATGGTAGTTTTGTGAAATTTACCCAATAATCAAGATGATTAGCTAGTTGTTTTATCAAAAAGTGAAACCACATTCTGTGGATGACAAGTTAACAATAGAACGCGCAGATAATTAAACCAAATTCAAGCAGCCTGGTCATCAACGTAAACATCATCCCAAACCTTAAAAATTGGATGTCACTTCTCTAACACAAAAACTTATACAAGAGCAAGCAATCACGATGTACTTATTTCCTATACTTCTCTGTATCCAGATAATGTCATGTGACATTCCCTACTAAGACCATGTACTCCTCTCTCTTTCATTTCCTTAATAAT